TTAGAGTACTTTAATTTGTTTTAAAGTGTTGCCAATAGTCCCCATGTCCACCTCTTTTACTCAGCTGATGACTAACCTCTATAACTAACTAGTGAGTGACAGATATGACAGGGTCATCACCTTTGACATGGTGCTTTTAAAGCTAAAATGTGTTCATGTATAACCTGTGTTAAATCCATCCATGTTAACAAACACATTAAGTTTTTATTAGAAATATATGGGCTTGTTTTTACATATGTAGTAACCTTTTTGAGCTTGCCAAATATGTGGGAAAAGAGTCATTTCACTTGTATTGAAGAGTTTATTCTATTTATTAATTACAATAACATTAGGCATAAACAATGTGCATGAATGAACATAAAATAATAGAAAACTATGAATGTATAAATTAAAGTGTGAATATGATTTATTATTTATTATTAGGTTTATTATTATATAGGTTATAATAGATTAGAATTAACACTGCTTTAGCCTACATTTTCAATTTTAAAATATAAAATTCAAATGATCAGCTGAACATCCTTTCCCTGTATTTCGGTTGTGGGAAGAAGGGATGCAGCAAAAACCCGGAAGCTAACAATAAATTAAAATGTCTACCTATTAGATAGTGTTTTATTAACGTCTACACCTACGCCAACCCTAAACCTAAACCTTACAATAATGCAAAAACAGTAATTATTGTTGTACAGTATGAGAAAAATTACACTATATTGATGTGCGCACGCCCAGTAGTTTTTGCTGCATCCCTTCTAGCCTGAACCCTTTCCAGCTTCACATAGCAGGATTTATAAATTACTATCTTAAACTTCTTATTTAAGTGATATAGCTGGCAATGAAATATAAATGATGGGCAAATCGTTTAATATAGTTTAGAACAAGTTCAATTCTTGTGCACTTAAAAGAAGACGGAGAATCGAGAAAATAAAGACTGAAAATCCGTTTGGAAGATGTACTGAATGTTACTTCATCAGTAGACGGGTGTTGTTGTCTCCAAGCAAAATTCTGCAAGGAAAAAATGGCTTAATTAACAGTCAAATTGAGCAATATAATAAACGGCTGATTAATGATGATTTCAGTGCTTCCAATGGAACTCACAATGCTTGACTCTATAGTCTCACCTGACTAATGCAGCAGCGATAAGGTCACCAGTAATGGGTCCCACCCAGGAAAACCCAGTGGTGAGTCCAGTAGTTGGTCAGCACTGCAGGACCCAGCGCTCTTGCAGGATTCAAGCATGTACCAGACACATCACCGCTGAAACCCACAGAAGATATTCATCTCCAGACCGCACACAGGGAATTATGTGTAACATAATCGATGAACTCACCCCACTAGTATATTAATAATGACTGTGCAGCCCACCAAAAATGGAACCAAAGGACTTTTGCTCTTGGCGTTAACTGCACCTAGTAAGACCACCATGGTAACTAGACACGTCATGGCAATTTCTCCAAATAACGCCTTCATAATAAGGTCATCAGCCTGGAGGAGCGTAAATGCCGCACCTTGAGCTTGTGCATATTTCTCATTTAAGGTCATTCCCTGAAAGCAAGCATGAAAGACATGTCAAATCCATTGAATTGAATGTTTCAAAACCGCATGTATCTTACTCACGTTGGCCATGACTGCACCAAGTAAACCTCCAGTCAGCTGGGAGATCAGGTACGGCGCCACCATTTTCAGATCCATTCCACCACAGAGGAAGACAGCTACGGTGAATGCTGGATTGAAATGTGAACCACTGTTTCAGAAGAAAAACAAAATCATTGCATTATTCATCAATGAGATGCTTTTTATCTAAGGCAACTTCTAGGGTACGCTCAGAACTGGGACAAAACCTTTGGAGAACCCAGACTAGACCAGACCAGATCTAGCAAGCCACATCCTGGTGAAACTACAGGGGTCAGTGGATTAATACTGTATTTATAAGAAGAAAATATAAGAGGTTAACAGTCCTGACTAATCTATATATATATATATATATTAGATATATAAGATTATTTTATATTACATGAGAACTTTATTATTAATTTTATTTATTTAAATATATACATCTAAAAAATATATAATTAATATATAAAATTAAAAAAAATATAATCAAATATAATATATAATTCATAATATATCTTATAATTATATATATATATAGTTTACATAAAAACAGACGTTGTAATTTAGACATTTTTGATAATTATAGATAATTATATACATATATAATTATATTATGTAGTTTTAAAATGTATTGAATTGTATTTGTTATATAGCAATATATTTTAATATAATGTAACAACATGTAAAATATATTTTTTTTTAATATGTATTTTATTATATATTACATCATAAGGTGTGTTAATATGAAAAATATTATTTGTAATTTATTTTAATATATAAATTTGTAAATTATATAGACTATATAATAATTTTACACACACACACACACACACATATATATATATATAATATATGTGTGTGTGTGTGTGTAAATATTATTTGTAATTTCTTTTAACATATAAATTTGTAAATTATATATATAATAATTTTACACACACACACACACACACACACACAATTTTACACATATTATTAGTATTATATTGCATGGTTTGCATGAAGACGGGGTTAAAATGTTCCGTATAAAAAAATAAAGATTACAATAAAGAAATAAAGATTAGTTTTGTTTAAATGTAAATCCACTTCGTCTATACATTTTTTGCTCACAAATAAGAAAGCAATAAAAAGCAACCTTTTCCAAAGGTCACACTCGGTGTGCTATTTTTATATGTAGCCTATTAATATTTTTTGTTCTATTTTTGGCAGCCACGCACAGCATGCTCAATACATTTCTTCTCACCTGATCTCTGCCATACATGCGATCAGCACCGCCACAGCGAGTCCGTGAGCCAGCGCAGCGCAGGCTGGAGTCTGCCGGCGTCCGCCACGTTTTCAATGACAGACACACATCCGATGAACACGAAGAAAGGCAAAGCGCTCCCCAGCAGCTCAGCCACACACGGCTGAAAGAGCCGCTCGAACAGCTTCGGCTCTCTCGCATCATGCTGTCCCATCTTATCCACCAGAGCTTTCTCCATGTTGTGAAGCTCCACTTTGTCTTCAGCCATTCTTTCCCTCTGAGGCGCGAATGCATCTCCAGACTCCAGCGGCTGCGTCCTAATATGCTGGAGGACGTCTTCTCATCATGGGAGTGAATTGCTCAATGACCTTTAAGGGCAATTGATGATTGAAAAGACTAATAATAAACGTAAAATGTTGACCAGTGGTAAAGAATACATAGGCCCAAGGAAATTAAAACTGAACATGCTTGTGCACTCAGCTAATTTAGACGAGAAACTACTTCAACACCAGAAAGTTTAACCCGTGCTGGTTTTATAGAATACAAGGAAAACTACAAACACGTAGAAGTTAAACTACCTGAAACAGTCTTAATAATAGAAACGATTCTGTTCTGTTAGCTGTACAAACACAGTCCGTTATGCCGCGTGACACTTCAAACTGCTATTTGTTATCATTGTATTTTAATTCATTATAATCATAATCACACTGATTTGTAGCGTAAATGGTTTTGCCATTTGCTGCACTTTGTTATTGTTAGTTACTTAATGAAACGGAAGTCTCGCAGATTCAAAGACATTTGGTTACTTTGCTCACGCGTTGCAAAAGTCTTGTGTGATCGCATTTATATTTGTAATTAGCCTATGTAAATTAATCTTATTCTGCATCAAGAGGTAAAAACATAACATAGATCACTTTACATTGTGGCAAGACCGGAAAAAATATGAAAATCTTGTCCTATACTGAGAAGGCCAAAGCTCAATCTTGACGCTTGGAAATGGAGAATGTTTGGCCACTAGGTGGCAGCAGACAACTTTAATCAAAGTCTAATCAGTGGTAGAATTAAAACAGACCGAAATTTCAGTATGAACGCTTATCAGTGCGATTTAAATACAAAAATGTGGTTTAAATGCGCAAGGATTATTTTGACTTGCTAAATGTCAAATTGCTTACAGTTTACAGTTTATCTTCATATTTTAACTATAGTACTTTAGGCTACTTGATTATCCATATACGTAAAACATTTTCAAATGTGATACATCAGGCTTTCGAGGGACGTTTATTTGTTCATCTCTCAGTCATCGTTGTATTGAATTGCATTATATGTTTGACCCCCAAAATTATAACTAGAGCTTTGATCGTACAACTGAGCTTTTAAATATCATATTAATTATATGCATTTTTAAGCAGTCTAGTCTGTTCTACTGTTAAAATTGCATCTTAAATTTGGCCATATAAATATCAACAATTGCAATAAATTCCATATTTTTGCTCATTTTGGTCCTCTGAATTTTTTTTTAAAGTATGAGTTCCATATTCTCATACTATATATATATATATATATATATATCATAGAAGCATGTATCAAATATATACAACTAATTTTTTTAATTTGTCTAAAAGTTCAATAATCTGATTATTATTTCAAAAGTCAGGCTTTATAGGGTTAATTCAAGAGCATTTTATGCGGCAGATAATTCCCTAATTTGTGTTAGCCTATTTGTTTCATGCATAGGCATTTATTTCCATATTTGCACAAATTTTCTTCTAAATCTTTTTAATTAATCTTTTCTTTTAAATCTTTCATTAACTCAACTTTAAGATTTTAAGATTTAAGATGGGGTATTTAGTACGTATGTCTTCGACCATGTGACAAGGATATGTAAGGTCAACTGCATGTTTAAAATTTATTCGCTTTCAGCTGCTATTGTGCTTCGGACGGAAGATGGCGCTATTACAGAGAAATATAAATAGGCCTGATGTAACTTTATCACACACACAATGAATGGCTTTAAATGGAGTGAATTGTTATTTAGAAAATTTTGCAATAAAAAACGACTGTTATCATAAATCTGAGCCTAAAACATATAGCCTATCCACAAAGTGTTAGCCATCTGATTACATAAAGCAGAGTGTTAACCATCCAGTTTAATCAGAATACTTCAGTCAAGGTGTCATGTGTCACAACCCACTGCGCTCCACAATAGGGAAGTGAACTGCACTTCCTATTTCCTCAGCGTTACTGCTGTCTACTGACTAAACCAGAAATCGAGAGGATGAGAAACGAAAGGAATACGTTTGATGCAGGGTTTATAAATGAATATGAGCAGTAAATGACACAGATTGTCCGGTTCGGATCCAGTTCTGCGCGCGTAATGGGAGCGTCGCGCGTGCGGGCGGCACTTTGATAAAACAGCGACTTCTGTAGCCTATATAAGTTTTATATGTTGGTGGCTGAAGACGATTCAAGATGAAGAAACAGTTCAACCGCATGAAACAGCTCGCCAACCAGACCGTTGGCAGGTTAGTGTGTTATATACTGATTATTTTGAATGTTTCTACTGTGGTTCGTGTAAAAATGTTCACAGCAAAGTTGGGAGTGTCACTGTGTGTGCGCGCACGCAGGACTGAATTGTGATAAAACTGAAGTGATAATATATCACTTCAGTTTTATAAATTACACAAGCTATTGGGTCATGACACGTTATTTTATTAATGAGACCGCTATTGTAAAGGTATGTGTTTGATATTGCGTGTAGACGTTTAAAGAGTCTCCTACTGTATGTACATTACTGAACTGGACTGATAGAATGAGATTTGCATTAATTTGGAGTTTTGGGCCTTCTCTATTTTATATTAACATCTCTATCAGGATCATCAAACATCTATTTGACTGAAATAATAAATACAATATACGAACTGTGTAAAAATACCAAATTCATATCGGCTGATTGATACATCTGTATACCTCTGTATACTGTATACTGTATACCACAGTTCTTGTTTTTTTAGTTGAAGTGACTTGGCAGGTGACTGACATTTCATTAAGATGATGTAGCTAGTATTCAATAATGTGAACTTCTAATTTAACAATAATTAGGGATGCACCAATAATGAAAAATTGACCGATATATGGGTCCAGTGATATTTATTTTCAAGCTGTGGACAAAAAAAAAAAAATAACCTTGATTTATTTCTTTTTTTCTCTCTCTCTCAATTTCAAATAAATGTTTTGTTGTTTAAATGACATCACAACATTACAGTTTTAAATATGGATAAATAATAATTTTAAAATGAATAATGAGAAAGTATTCTCATGTAATCTAAGATCAAAAAGTAATCTAAGAATGTAATCTAAGATCAAAAAGTAGCTGGAACTACTTGCCTTCTTACTGCAAACTGGGACATCGTTAGTTTTAGTTCATCTCTGCAGATCTCAAACAACAAACTTGCTCAGAAACAGTCAGAGGAAATTTGAGTTGTCTTGACTGGTTTCCCTGCAGAGATATTTTAAGTGCCTGTCAGAGAATGGCAGTCTTAGGTTGCCTTTCTTTGCATATTTGCTCTTACGAGAGTGAAAGGGTTAAGTAAGGTCAGAATATCTTAGAAGCTTTTCACATTGAGATGCTTGTTTTTTGCCAAGAAATTGTCTTTATTTACATTCACTCGTCTTTTGCTGTGAGTTAAGCATCTCAGGCAGCTGCTAGATTCATCACTCGCTTGTCACAGTCTATCAGAGCGTCTGATGCAGAATGCAGATCTGGGGTAATCCAGAGTCGGAGGTATAATAGTCAGGGCCAGCTCTCATGGCGGCTTTCCAGGCCAGAGAGACGCCACGTTTTGATACAGTCGGTTAAGTTACGGCCCCAGTTAGTTTTGCCTCCGCTGCAAAAGGAAACACCGTCAGAGATTTTACAGTGATGAAGTACATAGGACATTGCTTGGTATTCATTTTAACTTGGGCCACTTTTAGTCATTGATTAAAAATGATAAATGTTGTAGGTGATGCTGCATACTTTAGTGAAGTTTTGAACTTGGAAAATGTAAAAATCTAGCTGGAAATGGAATTGATTTTGTATCAGATGTGGCATAAATGCACCAAAAATACACAGTTGCATCCAAAACATCGCACTCTGGTTGCAAAAACTGTGTCATTTCTTGCTAATTTTGTGTTTCTGTATGTATAAATCACACAAAAATGATGGTGCAGACAGCAGGGCTGTATACTCATCTAAACTGTCCATTTAGATCCAGGATACTTATGCTTTTTAAGCATGCTGATGAACATAGAATTTCCTTCTTTTCCTGAAACCAAAACCAGATGTTCAGTGAGCTGGTCAAAAGAAAATCGTGGCAAGAGGCACTCTGTCTACATGCTTTATTATATGTCATTGATCTTAGTAGTTGATCTAACAACAGGGAACATTCTTAGAACTTTGGCTAACGCTCTGGAAAGGTTCTTTCAGTAACATTAATAGAATGTTTAAAGTTATCTATAATGTTCTCAAAATGTTAGCACAAAAATGGGATGTATACATCGTTCATGGAATGTTTTTTTGTGCACCGTTTTAGCTGGACGCTCATCTTACTACTTTCGAATGTTCAGAGAAACGTTCCCATTGTGTCTGCAAAATAATAAAATGGAATGTTCCCTTAACGTTTTTAAAACTGGATGACATTCAGAAATAATGTTTTCATGACTTAATTAGCAAAACGTTCTTACAGTATATTTAGTTAGCTAACAGTGTTTCCTCTGAGAGCTGGAGTTGGAATTAGAGCAAGCGGGTTTGTAGATTTGTTTTTTGAGCAAAAATTTTGTCATCAGTAATAAAAAGGAGGTGACAATATCTCTTTTGTTGAATGACCAAATACCAACAAACATAATCTGGAGAGATTTGAATCTTTTCAGATAAACATACCGCTAATTAAACCCCTTGTTTTAGGGTCAAATGTTTTTACTGAACTGAAAAGGCCTGCAAAGCTCTGAAATTATGCAAGATGCGAGCTCCAGTACTGTTGATCAGATGCTATGTTTACAGTCAAGGCTACCAGTCAGATTCTGCTTGAATATGGCTAAAATATTTGTCGTAATTGAGCATTATGCCTTTATGTTAGTGCAAACTAAAAGGAAAAAAACTAAGTTTGAAATGGTCAGCGACAATTAATCATTCAATACTTGTGCATTCATATCAATAATATGTACACTCTAAAAAATGCTGGGTTGTTTCAACCCAACTTTGGGTCAAATATGGACTAACCCAACCATTGGGTTAAATTTTTACATTCAATTTTTAACCCAAAAGTTGAGTTAGTCCATATTTGACCCAAAGTTGGGTTGAAACAACCCAGCATTTTTTAGAGTGTAGCAAATAGAATTTACGTTTTTGTATGCCAATTAACTTCTGCTTCAATATGGTTTTGAGTTATGCATTTTTATATGTGATTTCAAATCTAAAGAAAGCTTGACTACATAGTTATCTTGTGCTGAATAATGCATACTCATAATTATGATGCAGTTTGTCTTGTATTCAGAATCAGATTGACTTTAGTGAGCAATCTTGTTCCTTAAAAGACATTTAGATAGATCTTTATAATAGCATGTTGTTTTCTCAAGTTTGAATGTGTGTGAAATGTTAGCTGAGGTATTTCTGGAGGTTGACACATAACCCGATATGCATTTGCTGAACACAGGATCAATGCTAATTCAGTATTGATGGAAATCTAAAAATTCCCTCCTGCCAAACGTGAGGTCATTCTCAAGCCTGTGTAACGGGATCTTTTCTCTTGTTACATGACCAATTTTGTGGCTTTTCTCAAAGTTTTCTGGACTGCATGTGGATAGAGTCTCTCTTGTTATTTCTCGTGGGTTCTCTCTTTTAGAAAAGTTGTTGTACATGGCATTTAACAACGTCTAATATCTGTCAAGAACTTTAATATTGCTCTAATCAACCAAAATAATCACCATGGTGCTTGACCTTGAGAAAGGTCCCTTTACCCTGAGGGATTGTCTGTGTGTCAGTTCATCACATGAAAGTTGTAGACATAAATAGCAGTTGCACTGGTTGTGTGGTGTTAAAAATTCTTTGCTATAAAAAAGATTCAAGGTTTTACCTTTTTTTTTTATTTTTTTTTTAACTACACTGCTGGCTCAGCAGTTTTACCACATGAAAAAAAAAACGCTCAGCCAATTTCCTCCGACAATACATACAACAATATATAAATAAATGAAAATGCTGAAACTATCACCAATGCCATAGTCATGTTCTGACTGTACAATGTCCCCATAGTATGATTTGTGATAGTTTTATGGCCTCTGGTCAAAAGGAGTCTCTGCTCATTAGTTATGAAGCTCCACCCCTTTTGCTGACAAGAGTGTGTGTAAAGCATCAACAGCCCCGCCCCCTTTACTGCAGTTGCCATAACAAACAATGTGGAATGCGGGAAGTGGATTTTTTTCTTCTTCTGACATGTGTGCCAAATCGACAGTTTGTTGACACAGTTGGAAAATAAATGATGTTTAATTTAGGAAAAGTGAAGTGCAGTGGATGCTTTGAATGGATGATGTTAATGAAGATGAAATCCAGTGAATTTTTCATGTGAAGTGAAGACTTTACACAAAGCTATGTTCTTGCATGTTTGTGTTGTTTGTTTGGCATTTTTATAGTGATACTGGCCTAACCTGCTTTCACAGTCAGCCTGAAGCACTGCACATTTAGTCTGTCCATATAACCAAACACTGTTTTTCCTTTTTTTGTCCACAGAGCAGAGAAGACAGAAGTACTGAGTGACGACCTTCTTATGGTGAATATTTTGTCTTTCCATGACTTGATCCTGACTGTCACAACTATTAATGACTGCACAAATCACCCAGCATTCCAGTTTGAAGTCACCAGTGTTATTTTAGTATTATGTGTGTACTATTAAAGTTTTTATTATATGTTGGTCACTTTTTATTATTATTTTTTTTTTCTCACTATATTTAGGTTAGTTTTTGTTTGTATTTTAATATTTAGTATTAATTTTTATATTTTTAGTTCAGTTATAATTTTTATTTATTTCCCGTTAGTATATTTAGTGCTTCAGCTTATTGCAAACTTATTGCAGTTAGTTGCCAAGTTAACATTTCTAAATTTCATATTGTTTCATATTTTCATCTAATATTTACTTCATATTAATATTTGCTTCATTTAAAGTAAATACATTTTTAAAAATAGTTTTATAGTTATAGTTAACAATAATAACCCTAAAAGTCATTAAAATTCTTATTTTATTAGCAAAATATGCTGTATATTGTTGATAATTTTAGGCAATTAAGAATGACTTATTCCACCTTTAATAATTTGAGTATTATGGTTTATTTCATGGCTCTTTGGAATACTTGATTCTGATTCGGCTGTCAGATATTTTTGCATAATGATTTTAAACTATATAATTAACCACTGTCCCTGGCAAATGATTTCTGACTAAATATGTCTAGTAATCTTGTAAATATGTAATCTTACATAGATGACTAAATATGTAAGACGTTTCATATCTCCCCACAGCCTTTTCCCCTTACATCTCATTTATGCATCAGTATGTTAATATTTACATCTATTTATTTGTTTGTTTGTTTAGTAGTTGTTCAATAAGCAGGATACTGTACAGTAAACTGGTCAAAAAAGACTATATTTAGCAGACTAGCTGACCGTAGATGATCCTTTACATATCTTCTGTATGTATTCATATTAATCACAATATTGAACATGTATGAATGAATATTAAGGCATAACAAAGCAGATGTTGTGCTCTAGTATGACTTTAGCTCTTATTTATTGTTAATCATGAGCGTCTCTTTTGCTTTCTGTTACACTCAGTGAGTATCTCCTTTACATTCATCTTCTTCGTTCCCACAATCTCTCATCTTTCACACTCCTCCCTGTTCCCTTTTTTTTTTTTTTTGCTTGTTGCAGATAACAGGAAAGCAACTGACTGTCTGAGACTAATTGATTTTAATATTTCTACCGCCACACAGCCCATGTTTTCACGAGTATGAGTGCAACTACGGCTGTTATGAACAAAGGAAAGCCTAAAATAGCTTAAAAAGCACCAAGCCCTAGCAGCTTTATTGTGGCATATGTTGATGCTGGTAATTATGCATATAAATCTAAATATGTGCAATTTACTGCATGACACCCAAAGTCTTCCAAAGCAAACATTCACTCTAAAAAGAAAAACAAATCAGCCTAATCTGTCACTGCCTCATTGTTTAAAAAGTAGCTCATGTTGAAACATGCCCGTGCAAAACGCTGCACAGCTAAAGGGAAATCATTGAAGCTCGACGGATTCTCGCCAGAGCTTTATATGCTGCTCCTTCACCTTCATTCATGCATTCCATGTCCAAGGGTCAAAGTTTAACTGCCTGATTGCTCTGCGTCTTGCGCCGCCTCGGGTTTGCAGAAGGGAAAAGAAACATGATAATCGGCCATAAACTCCCTCTTGAAATGAGTCAGAAGGTCTTGAAGGTCTGCCAGGTTAAAAGGCAGCGGTGTTGGCAGACGGCCCCTGTTAGAGCTGCCCTGCCGCTGGTTTCTCTGATTGTGGTTGGAGTTTTTGTAAACCAGCGTTGAGGAGTAACACTGCCAGCTGAACAACATTTTTCTGTAGCTGGTTTCAAAACAGGATAGCTTTCTTCTAGTAATGAGACACTTTTTCCAACCAACAAATCGTCACTAAATACTGTTATTTAAGTCAAATTGCATTGCGTAGAACTGAAGCAATAATCATATACTCTCGTAAAATAGATTTTTGTACGTGTATGGTATCGGAAAGTCCCAATCATTTTAGTATGGATGATTCATGTAAATTAAATGAACACACACAGATTAATTTCATTGCAGATCAGGGTTTCTATAAACCTAGAACAAAAAAATTTACTTGAAATAAAATAAATGGTAACTGTAGTGCTGTCAAACGATTAATCGCGATTAATCGCATCCCAAATAAAAGTTTTTGTTTACATAATATATGTGTGTGTACTGTGTATATTTATTATGTATATATAAATACACACACATACAGTATATATTTAGAAAATATTTACGTGTATTTACATGTATGTATTTATATTCATATAATTTATATTATATATAAATATTTAATATATAAACATAGCATATTTTTCTTAAATATATGCATGCATGTGT